CCAAAGTCGCCTTCTGACTAGTCTTAAGAAGAAATAATTGGCCAACGCACCGGCTGCCGGTGCAAAAATGTGTTTTTTGCGTAGTTCCCCGCAGTTTTTTTCACTACTGGACCGATTTTTTCGGCAAATGCTTTAGCTAAACAAATTAAGACTGGCCGCCAAGGCTGTCAGAAAACAGCCCCATAAAATTTCTGCTTTCTGGCTTTCCTGGCTCCCGAGTTAGCAACTTACCCGCGAAAAAATTGACGGGACCGTACACAGAAATCATGCACATCCAGGGGCTGGTTTGAACTCATTAATACTTACTTGGATGGGGAACATCCACTTAAAATTCCAGTCTTCTAGCCTATCCGATTCCCGAGTTCGCGACTTGCCGCGAGAAACTTCCACAAGCCAGTATGTGGGTACCACGCATACCCGGTGTATGGGTTTCAGCTCATTGAGACTTACGTGGACAGGGAACATCCACTTAAAATTACAGCCTTCTAACCTTTCAGTTTTCCAAGTTAGCAAGTTACCCGAAAAAAATTTTGGCGGGCTGATTTTTCATCTGAAGGTCTATAAAAGCTACAGTTGGGGACTTAATCTACATGCACGTACGGGTCCCAATCCCCAAAATGGACGCTCTTACTCGCATGGTACCCATGTACGGCTTCGTGAAAGTTTTTCGCAGATAAGTTGCTAACTCGGGGACCGAAAAGCTAGAAAGCTGAAATTTTAAGGGAATGTCCCTTGTCCATGTAAGTCTCAATGAACTCAAACCCAGGCACCGGATAGGCGTGGTTCCCACGTACGGGCTGGCGGAAGTTTTTTTCGAGTAAGTTTCTAACTCGGAAAACTGAAAAGTTAGAAGGCTGTAATTTTAAGAGGATATACGCCGTCCACGTAAGTCTCAATGAGCCCAAACGCAGACACTGGATATGCGAGGTACTCATGTACGGTCCGCCAAAGTTTTTCTCGGATAATTTGCTAACTCGGGAACCAGAGAAGCTAGAGGGTTGGAATTTTGAGAGGATGTTCCCCATCTAAGCAGGTATCAATGAGCCCAGACACCGGTGTGCGTGGTACCCACGTGTGGGCCCGTGAAAGTTTTTTTCGAGTAAGCTGCTAAGTCAGGAGCCAGGAAAGTTAGAAAGCTGAAATTTTAAGGGGGTAATTTCTAACAGTTCGGCCAGTCTTAATTTGTTTAGCTAGAAGCATTTGCTGGAAAAACCGGTGCCGGTAGCGACAAAAACTGCAGGGAATTATGCAAAAACCGCATCATCGCACCGGCAGCCGGTGAGTTGGCCAATTATTTGCACTGCATAGCTGCAAAAAACGCATGAGAAGCAATCGAAAGCCATTTCGGTAAACTTTCGCTTGCCAAAATGCTAACACTGAGACTGCAAGTGGAATAACACAAGAACTGAAATATGAAGGAAACTCAGACTATTCCAGAGATATGGCTAATATCGGGGTCTCACACCGTCTCTTCGAGATTTTATTTTGGGAAAGAAAAAAAAATCTTCCATACAGGACTGGAAAAACTGAACCATGCAAAATTCGAAAATCTAGGATTTCGCTGAATATCAAAAAAAGAATTCCCGAAACCCAGCACAAATTTCATGAAAATGAGAGGAAATTGAAAACAGAGCGAAACAAAAAGAACACAGTTCACTCTTAATAATATGCTTACCACAGCCCTTTCAATATTGCAGTTTCTTACCAATCCATTCAAGTTCGGGTCATTTCTCAAGCCTTGTATATCTGCAAAAAAAAAAAAATCAAATGCTGCAACATTCAAAGAGCCATATGTATAATTCTATGACGAGAGGTAAAAAAAAGTGATCCGAGTGGTCACACTAAGATAAAAGCTATCTTTCGCTAGTACAGCAGTTAGCGGCTTGCTAGCTGAAAATGTTTTTAACTCCCTGGCACGAATCGCCTTCGGTATATGATCGAAACTGCAGCAACCGCGTTGATCTGATCAAGACACACATCTTACAGACAATTCATTTCCTCAGTGAGATGCAAAAATTCACCCTACTCGAAGGAAATAATAAAATAGCAATGCTCACCAGACTAGCCAGTGCGATCATGCGTTTTGTGCAATTCAGCCCATCGAACGACTGCCTTTCAATGATTTTCACTCCTTTGTACTTCAGTCTATGCAAAAATAGTTGAAACATTGAAAAATATTCAGAAGTTTCACGCGCATGCGCATGAAAGCTGAATTCGAAACACTGAATGGTGAATATCTTTCCGTGATTCCCGAGTTAATAGTTTACCCGCCAAAATTTTCACAAAGTCGTAGATGATACCCGAGGGAGCGGAAAAACTGAATTAGAAGAGGAAGGCTCAGCGTAGGCAGAGGGTCACTACTCTAAAATTTCAGCCTCCTGGACCCCGTGGTTCGCGAGATATTAATTTACCCGTAAAAAACTTTCACGGGGCCGTACGTGTCACCCGCAGGTACAGAAAGGTTGAACATGAGCTTTCTGGGTCGTACGTGGTCAGGGGACATACCCATAAAATTTTAGCTCCCTAGCTCCCGTAATTCCCGAGATACTGATTTTACCCGAAAAACTTTTGCGGGGCCGCACGTGTTACCCGCGGGTACGGGAAGACTGAATTTAAATTTGCCGCGTCACCCGCTGGCGGGGAACACTATACTAAAATTTCAGCCGCCCAGTTTTTGTGGTTCCCTAGTAAAAATGCGAGACAAAATGTGGGAAACACACACAAACACTTAAGATAAACCCGTTACAATATGCGTTCTGTACTGCTGTTACACAGCATAAAATGCATAAAAAACGCATAACTACTAACCATATCCAAGAATAGTAAGCTTTGTCGCGAGGAGTTGTTTTAAGCATTCGTCACTTCTGTTGGCCAGGTGAATTATATCATATTCATTCTGGACATTGTTGATAATTTTTTTCAGCTCCTGAGTGTAGATTTCTCGAGCCAGATGTCGTTCCATTGAGCCAAGAGAATTCCATGCATACCTTAACTTCGACTCTCACACAACAATTTTGAACTTTTCCTTTCTATTATTTTCACTCTCTGAAATTCATCCAAAACAATGATGAATGACGGAGTTGATCAGACCATTTTGCGGTGACATTCTCCATCCCCACTAGAACCACCGTTGCCCCGACAATTCATTTTCGTGATAAACAGGAAACACCCATTAACAGCAACAGCAGCGCAGTGACTCGCTTTTGAAAATGCTTCTTGAAAAGCAAGCTCAAATGGTGTATGCTAAATAAGCCAGCATTAGTTTGCCATCAAAATGGTTAAAAAATTGACTGATTAAATGAAAAATTTCAGGCAATAAAACCAATGGCGATATACTGAAATGGGATAGGGGTAAGAGAAAATAAAGAAATTTTTTTTAAAGAAAAAAATAAGATCATTACCATTTTAGACGTTCAACGGCCGACCAAAATGGTGGGCATGGAATGTTGCACTTTCCGACTGTTCCTTGTTTAAACAGCGAGTAAAGGCGCAACTTCTGATTGATGGAGATACTAATTGGTCCTGAAATTTTAATGCAATTAAGCACTGCCCATTAAAAAAATGAAAGTTTTTTAGCAACGACGAGAAAGTGTTCTTCAAATCACAGTGTTCTTCAGCAAAAAGAATTTGTTTTGGAAATGCCACAATGAAAAAGTTGCGGAAGGCATTGCAAATGCTACAAAAAGCGAATATTCGCATAAGACTGCCTTCGTGAAGAATCTGAGCCAGCCGCGCAACTTAAACCAATCGCTTTAAATCTAACAAACAAACAAAAAAAACAGAAGGCTAGACCAGTTAGCCGAATCCCTAGCCGATAAATTTCTCTGCCAGCGAGTGCATGGGAAGATACCGGACATGATGAGTGCCAACGACAAAACAGACCAAATAAAAACAACTCTGTACTCAACAACAAACGAAAGGCTGGCTGCGAAGGCCTCCATTAAGCGTCGCATCCATTAATTCCGATCATCTCTCAGTGAGGAGAGAGAGTCGAAAAACAATAGGATGGATTGGCATTTTGGTAATCAGATAAAGATGACTGCTAATAGATGGAAAAGGTGAATAGCTGCATATTACCTATGAATGTGTTAGAGGAATAGCAACAAGATCACTATTGTATTGGGTGGATTCATCGAACCAAAATGTGTAGAATGGTGTGGAGTGCAGAAAACGGAAAAGTGGCTCAGTGCAGAGAGACCGAAGGAAACGGGTTTGAACTGTCTCAGGATTGAATGCAAAAGAAACATACAGATAATAAGTAAAAATTTAGGCAAAAACCTTTCTTTGGCATATTTTGTACGATAGCTACGGCAGCTTCAAACGCAGGATCAGGGCTATAGCAGTCTGCGCGTTCTAAATCTTCCTCCATTTCGCGACAGTGACTTGTTGCACCTAAAATCCACACGGATCAATTGTACCTGCCTTAGATCTTTCCAATTTTACCAGCAAAACAGTTTTCACGCATTCATGTTAGGCTGATTAAGCATCCAATCACGCAAAACGAGAAGCACCATTCCAATTCGACCAAAGCAAAAACCGTTGGATTTTAAGCAGAAAGATGCCGGTCAACAAATTAGTACATGATGCACAAACAATACGTAATTCTCTGAATAAGAAATCTGTTAAAATCCAACGCTTTTGCAAGCCCTGGGCAACGCTGTTCTCATCCTACATCACCAGCATCCATCTGCAAAAACTTACATGTAAAAAAATTTGTTCAGTGAACAGAGCGGAAATGCAATGATTTTCATTGCAAAAATGAAATGCGAAAAAAACTGATAGGAGTGAGGCAAAAAAATTTTTGGAAAATCCTGGAATTTTTGGAAAATCTTGAAAATTTTTGGAAAATACCTGGACAATGTTCGTTAAAGAACCTATCCTACATCACAGTTCGATTACCTTTAGCTTTATGGGCAGAGACGACGTAATCGCCCCTCAGTATGCGGGGGAGCATTCCCTTAACAATCGGTATCGCCTGTTTTTGGAAAATCATACATAGATTATGGAAAATATGTTAAACTATAGAAAAGTTGCTGTGGACGAAAGTAAAATGATCGCCAAGAAATAAACTGATAGGCCTCTTTTTGGATGCGATGAACCCAGCAATTTCCCCCAAAAGAGTAGTGAGTGCAGCAGTGCGAAAGCCAAAATCAACAGTGCATCGACCAGCAGGACTACCAGACGATGCTGCTTCGTCGAAAAGTGGGAAGATACGCCGCGAGAAAATCAGAATATCAAAGCAGTGAACTTGCGACACCCTCACTGAGTTTTAGACCCAACAGACATGTTTTTATTTATGCACCACGCATATTTATGCAAATTTTTGTCATATTCAAATTTCGATTTCTTACCCGACGCACAGTAACATTATACAAATTCATACGTTTGCGCAAAGCAGAAAAAGACACGGATTCAATTCACATTTACAACACTTCAACGAGCGACCACAATGTGCTCTGGACATAATTTTTCAACAAATTATAATTTATGCATCACACACTGTTATGCGTTTTTGCATATATGCAAATCTAAAACGCATATTGTGACGACCCCGGTGTATGTTTGTATTTATATGTGCGCGTCCGTCCGGGTATTTCAACTCGGCACCAGGCAAGCTACAGCGCCAAAATTTTGTTAGCCAGTTCCTCGGCCAAGTGTCACTCCAGGACCACAGTACGAACCTCAAATAAGTCTGCGCCCCGCATACGACCATGCGAAAATTTTGGCGGGAAAACAACTCGGGGTCCAGAAAAACTGGAAAGCTGAAATTTTCAGGGAAAGTTCTCCGTCCACGTAGAACACAAGGATTTCAAATTCAGCCCCCTGATGGCCGTGGTTCTCAGGTGCAGCCTTGTGAAAGTTTTTGGCCGGAAAATGTTAGCTCGGGAACCAGGAAAGTTGGGAAGCTCAATTTTAACGGAATGTTCACTGCCCAAGCACCGCGCAGTTGCACAATTAACTTTCCAAACTCCGAGGACATGTCACAACATCTAGCTAGTGGGTTCCTGACCGATCTTACAACAGCACGAAATTCTGCAAAAACGCATGATCGCACGAGCCCGGCTGGTGCGCGTCGCAAATGATTTTATATTACTTCAGAGGAACCACATTTCGCAAGTCACATATTCCTTTTTGCTCATTAAATTTTAAAAGTACAAGAAAAAAGCTACTATGGAGCGAAAAGTCGTAGGTTTTAATGGGACCACTCGACTCTCAACGATTCATTCAATTGCTTAAGTGGTAAATTGCGCCTGCTAGGGAGTCGGAAGCACCAGCAGATGAGGGAGCAGTCGACAGTCCTGCTAGCGGGGGATTAAGTTAACACATGCTACCACTTAGTTTGTCTCCAAGTGCCTCTGCCTCTAAGAAAAGTGAACTGCCAAAATTTTGACTTTCTTTATTTTCAGGTTATTCCGTTTTTATGCGTTTTTGCATATATGTAAATTGCAAAAACGCATATTGGAAAGAGGCTGTCTGTGTGTGTGTGTGTGTTTCTTGTGTTCGTTTGTACCGATTTTTCATCTCGAGACCTACAAAAATTACGGGGCTGAAATTTCGGGAACTTAATCTAGATGCATGTACGAACCATCATTCCCAAAATGGGCGCTCTTACCCGTGTGGTATCCATCTGTGAGCCCGTCAGAGTTTTTTACGGGTAAGCTACTAACTCGAAAACCAGAGGAGCTGGAAGGCTGAAATTTTAAGACGTTCTTCGTTCGCATAGGTATTAATGAGCTTCAAATTCAACCCCCGGGTTTGCGTCGTACCCACGTACGGGCCCGTGAAAGTTTTTTTCGGGTAAGTTGCTAAGTCGAGGAACTGAAAAGAGAGAAAGCTGTAATTTTAAGTGGAGGTTCCTCGTCTATGTAAGTCTCACTGAACTCAAACCCAGACTCCGGGTGTGCGTGGTCCCCATATACGGCGCGCCGAAATTTTCTCGAGTAAGTTGCTAGCCCGTGAATCTAAAAAGCTAGAAGACCGGAATTTTGAGCGGTTGTTCTTCATCCATGTGGATGTTAGTGAGCTCAAACCCAGAAACAGGGTATGCGTGGTACCCACGTACGGATTCGTGAAAGTTTTATTCGGATAAGCTGCCATCTCAACGGCCAAGAAAGCCAGTAAGCTGAAATCTTAAGGGGGTGTTTCCTGACAGTTCTGGCGATCAGTCTTGATTTGTTTAACTAGAAGCATTCGCCGGAAAAACTGGTGCCGGTAGTGAAAAAAACTGCGGGGAACTATGCAAAAAATGCATCTTCGGCCAATTATTTTTTTTCCTTATTATTCTCTTTTTTCGCCAAATTTGATTGAGGAAAACTTCTCATTTTTTAAGCTTCACTCTTCACCACTGTTTTTCGTTCCAATGTTCTTAAACTATTGTTGAGAAAATCGACAAATCACGCTGACTAGTCCCTCTGACGAAAGCTGCCGGAAAGATAAAGCCAATTTTTGATGTAAAATACTATCAAAAACGTAAAGTAGAGACAATAAACAATGCGCTTTGGATTCCAGCCCATTACTAGAACACAGATAACAATTTAACAACACATTCAAGAGGAACGAAAACACTTTTTCTTAAAATAATACAATTTCTGGAATGATAAATCAAAAAATCCTTAAAAATCAAAGTAATTCAAGTTCACTAAGATTCAAGTTCACTACTTCTACTACATTGCAAATAAATCTGAAACATCATACTTTCTTCGACAAGACAACTAAAGCAGAAAATTAAGTAATCATTCACAATAACTAAGCTTTCAGACTTTAAACGATGTAAGTGACTGCATCAATATGATAATTGAAATTCGAACGGGGAACATTTTTTCAGAAAAAAAAGGAATATTTTCGCTCATAAAACACTTTTTGTGA